AAAAAGAGAGCCAAGAGACCCAGGATTCCGTTGGACAGGCCAAACAGGATTTGACATCAAATGACCATGGTATGATTTCCCAAGAGAATAACAATAATAATATTCAATGTAGCTTCACATTATATGCACCAGTGTCGCTTCTTGTTTCTGGTGCTATGACCTGGTGCCCAGCAGAGGGCAGCAGAAGGGGACTTTTAACCTCAATCATGAGGGTCACCTTTATGTGCCCTATATTTTATTTTCCTCTTAATTAGCTTCCCAAGAGAATAACAATAATAATATTCAATGTAGCTTCACATTACATGCACCAGTGTCGCTTCTTGTTTCTGGTGCTATGACCTGGTGCCCAGCAGAGGGCAGCAGACGGGGACTTTTAACCTCAATCATGAGGGTCACCTTTATGTGCCCTATATTTTATTTTCCTCTTAATTAGCTTTTTTTCTTTTTCTAAATCGTGTATTTCTTTTTCTGTCCACAAACAGTAGGACAGCCACAGAAGGATGAGGAAGTGGATGTGACCGTGTCCAGCTCTGTTGACTGCAGAAGAACACTGAATTCTTCAGAAGTGGCTTCCTCAGTCACACCCAACCCTTTCATATCAGCCTTCATAAACCCCAGCACTGCTGGAGGACCTTCACCCCATCAGACACACACCATTCTCAGCCTCAGTAACAGACACCTGAACAGGTGAGTCTGGCTCTGATTCTGCCTGGGAATATTTGTGATGCAGTGAATATCACATTATAATCAAACCATACTATTATGCCACAGTTCTGCTGGAAAATACTACTTCTTGCTCTAGACTGAAATATTACAATTAATCTTAGAAATTCAGGGATGCAAATTTATCAGGGGTGAAAAAAGGTGACAAAGATAGCCTAGTGAAAATGAAATTTACTAAAATTTATTTGGAATTAGTGCTGTCAAATGATTAATCGCGATTAATCGCATCCAAAATAAAAGTTTTTGTTTACATTATATATGTATGTGTAATGTGTATATTTATTATGTATATAGAAATACACACACATACAGTATATATTTTGAAAATATTTACATTTATACATTTATGTATTCATATTCTTATATTTTATATTATATATAAATATATTTAATATATAAACATAACATATTTTTCTTAAATATATACATGCATGTGTTTGTATTTATATATACATAATATATATACACAGTATACACACATACCGGTATATTATGTAAACAAAAACTTTTATTTTGGATGCGATTAATCGTTTGACCACTATTTGGAATACATTTATTTCATGCTAAGTATACATTTACATATTTATGTACTTAATAATAATATCCCGCAATTGTACTTTTTGTATACTAAACTGGTATACTTTAAGTCTGCTAAATTGGAACAACTAATTTTGTGCAGAAGTAGTGTTGAAGTCCAACTAAAGAAATACTGACGTATATTTGAATGTGCTAAAGTGGAACTGTTGCAAGTACACTTCAGGTAAACTTTAAATGATGATTTAAATCTTGATTTTAAAGACCAATATTATACAAAGATCATGCAATCCTCATCAGTAGTGATATTAAAACACATTTTAGACTTAATATTAAGAAATGTGCATTGTGCACAAGTGATACGCAGAATAAAGTTTAATTATGATTTTTATATCAATGATATGTCATCAGCGATATGTCAGTAAATATGTTAATAGATTTGAACTATACTTAGTATGAAATAAATGTATTTTTTTTTTTATATATAACTTTTTTTCTAGGGTAAGAGCCCTCTATGGAAGAAATTTGTATCAAAATTGATTTTTATTCAAATGGGGATTTACTGTCACTTTAGACCCTATGAAGAATATTTAAAATATTACTGTAGTAATAATACTATTGTACTGTAAAATTAAAAATAAATAAATAATAAAAATAATGTCATTTTACAGAACATGAATACAATTAAAAGTAATTTTTAATTTCTTTGCTTTCAAATGTTAAGCTACAGAGCTTTTATTTTGGCCTAAAACCTAGTTTGAATGCTGCAATTTTTGCTGAATAGTGACACATTTGGATCTCTGGAGATGACATTTTTTCTCAGTTTATTACTTTTTAGACAAAGCTTAAATTTTGTTTTTGATAACTAAACAAGGCATTGTCCTCCAAAATACTATTACTACTGATTATTATTATTACAAAATATTCCTTTTGAACACAATTCCAAAAAAGAAACAAATTAATATATGAAAGAAATGTATTACTGTAGATTTGTAACTGCACTGAAAAGTGACACATTTGTATCCATCAAGATCACTTTCTTGACAACAGCGAAATACAGACTTGAGAGTTTTGTCTTCCAAAATAATGCTGTGAATTTTTTTCCAAGTCCCAGAGAAGCCAGACCCTCCAGCCTCCATAGTCTGTGTGCAGCTTTGCCCGTGGCCCAGAGCTTCTGTGTCCAGTCCTCCACAGGAGACACCAACCTCAGCAGCCCTCTAAACCCTCAGCAGCACCATCACCACTGCAGCCCAGCCTCTCAAACCCCAGGCAGATCCATCATCCAGCTCCAGCCTTATTTTCAGACCCCTCCACATCCCTCACGACAATGTCCTGACATGGAGCTGCCCCTCCCTCTGCCTCCCAAACTGAGCCGGATGCAACTCCCTGAAAGTGCTCTGAGGAACCTGGAGATGACCCCAGGCTCTGACTATGCTAATCTGAGGCCCCTCACTGACATCCTCAACAGGATCCATTTTCAAGCTTTAGCCTCAGGACCATCGAGGAAGGTCCTGCAAAATCCCCCCCAACCTGAGCAGTACCTCCGTGGCTCAGACCGAGAGCTGCGTCCGCAGATTTATCCAGCGGTGCAGGAATACATCGATCAGCAGTTCACATTAAACAGCATGCTGAGCAGCCAGACTGAACACAGATCACAGATGGACTATGTCAGTGCCAGACCACTAACTGAATATTACTGTGAACAGCAGCCTGGGAAATGAAGTTTTTCAGTCATCATTGAATTATGCCTCATTTTGTTGCTCATTTCCTGCACTGCTCTGCATTAGTAGTTTACAAAGCAGATTCAAGTTGAACACTGAGGGCTTCCCAACAAAAGAATGTAAATATTTTCAGCGGGATATGACGTTGTTAGTTGTCACTGATGTCCATATTTATGTTTAGTCGGTTACTGTCTGTCTGAACTTTAAACTGCTAAACGTCTAAAGTCAACAATAAACCATTCAGAGTTGTAATTGACAAGTAATTCTGCAGACCACACTTTTGCTGTTTCTATTCTAATTTTTGACCCTGTGTGGGTTTCATTTTTTACATTAAACCTAAATACAGAGTTCTGGGTTAAGTTTGCTTTTTTTTTTTTTTAAAGACATCACAACTATAACTTTTCTTAGCAATGTAAAGTTGCCTTTACAAACAGCATAGACTCTACTGACACTGCTGTGCATCTTTCAGTCTAGTGTAAAACAGCAAATATTTGACGCAAAAAAGTCAAATCAAGATGAATTTATTGACTGTGATCAGAAACAGATTTCTTATTAGATACATATATTGTATATTAATTCTACAACAAGTTATAGGCATTAACTATATGCACTGCTATATAACACATTCTCAGTATGTGATTGTTAGTGATGGAAATATCACAACTCTAGAACAAACACACTCAGCTCAGAAACAAGAACATAGAAAAGTATTCGAAGCCTGAAGTTGATTTTAAATGTATGCAACATCTTATAAACAATGGCTACATTTTTAAAGCAGTTCCCTTTTTCCCAGCTGAAACAGATATTGATGTAAAATAACAAACAAACTTCATTTTGAAGAATGAAAATTGAACATCAATTTTAATTAACTTGTTTCTGACAAACAGAACATTGTTTCACAAATACTTTTGCCAAAGTGTACTGTAAAAAAAAAAAACGTTTTATTTGGCATCTGATTACCAATGAGCAAAAAACCCAATCATTTATGATTCATCAGCAATGTAAAATAAATGCGGATATACTGTTTGACCTACTGATGTTTGGCAAATTGATTTGTATTTTCATAACACAATAGCAAGCTGAAAATCAGAAGACAACAAAACACTAAAATATAGTCACTCTCAATGGGGAAAAAACAGTTGAAGCAGAGTTAATTGACATATACTTGACAGAGCTCTCACATTATCTGGATGATGATAATTAGCACTTTAGGAACAGAAAACATGTGACATTATTTAAAATATTGCTGTTAAAACATAAAAAAAAGAGGAAGAAGACCTGTTATAATCAAGCTGCATCACTGAATTAAAAAATAACTGAAGTTATTCAATATGGGGAAAACTCTGTAAGGCACAGAGTATCTTCAAGGAAACTATGAACATGGTAGATGTTCAACTAAAAATGCACAGTATCACTCTCCAAACTTGTAGATTTAACAGTAACTGGGTTCTGTACTGTCAGTTTGGCTGCAGTCATAAAATCTTACTTGCAGCCAACAAAAGAGGACCAAAGCTTTATCGTCTGCATAAACATTGGGTGAGGTAAATTATATCGGAGGTTTTCTGCAATGAAAAAGTAAAGATACTTTTCAAAATCCTGCTAAATTCAGCGTGTTTTGGCCTTTGCTGGGTGTCTCGGTAAAAATGCATTTGGAGCACTACTTATTATCCAAAAATAGGCGTGACATGACATGACCCATACTCGGAATTAGTGCTCTGCATTTACCCATCCAAAGTGCACACACACAGCAGTGAACACACACACACATACCGTGAACACACACCCGGAGCAGTGGGCAGCCATTTATGCTGCGGCGCCCGGGGAGCAATTGGGGGTTCGGTGCCTTGCTCAAGTGCACCTCAGTCGTGGTATTGAAGGTGGGGAGAGAGCGCTGTACATTCACTCCCCCCACCTACAATCCCTGCCGGTACGAGACTCGAACCCACAACCTTTGGGTTATGAGTCCGACTCTCTAACCATAAGGCCACGACTTCCCCACTAGTGGGCAAAACAAAAAAATAGGCAAAACATTCTCAAAGAATATACATACAGATATGATTATGAATCACATGGCGTAGTTTTAGATGAACGACTGCACAGTGAACGCGTGGTTTGACCTACAACCCTAAAAGCAAAGTTACATTTTTTTTTTTTATTATTGTTTTCATCCTACTTTAAAAATGACTACAGTGCTTCCTGTTTGAACTATACAAAAAGATGTTTACAAATGAACCTGTCTAAACGTATTGGTTAGATAAACTAAAAGTCATTTCTACTCACTACTGCGTCACTATTTGACCTGAACAGAAATGTCTTCACAATGATGAATGATTTCAAAGGCCCAGTTGATCAATCCAATAAACATGCTGTAACAAACCTAATGGCTCTTCTACACTATACTTCTATATATCTTCATACATTGCATAAACGTAACTGTGAATACAACCTTAGCTACCAATTCAAATGGAAATACTTCCTTGTCTTCTAAATCACTACATACACACACACATCTGCAGCTGCCCACTAGTGAATTTTATGATACAGTTCTGCGATTAACAAAATAACTATAATTGAGGTATGTTGTTTCAACAAAAGAGGCAAAAAAAAACAGACAAAAAAGATATAAGTGACGAAAACAAGAGCACATGCAGAGATTCTGGTCCTGCAGAGGTAAGGCACCAGGGGTCTAAAAAATCAATTCCTCGTTTCTGTAAAAAGAAAACAGCTTGTGTTTCTTTTCAAGACAATCAATGTGGGAGTGTCAGAAAGGCAGCAGAGTCAAAGGAGCGTGTTCAAGCTTGAGGATTGGTCATTTTCTGAAGCAAAGGGATCTGTAGAGAAACAACACATTTATTTACCTGTTTATACTGACAAATCATAATATATTTTACTTGATCCTGGTGGTTATTCATTCCCTAATCCTCTTCTACCTCTGAAAAAAATACTAATGTCAAAAAATAATCAGGTTTGATATATAACATGCTAAACAGCACTATGCTTATTATTTTTTTATAATTATGTATGAGGTTTTTTATGACCATATTAAATGAGAGCCTACACTAACATTTTAAAGTTTGCGACCAGTAAAAATGAATACTTTTATTCTGTGTGGACACATTAAATTAGGATTAATAGACACTAAAGACTGGAATAATGACTGCTGAACATTCAGCTTTGTCATCATAGGAATAAATTACATTTTTAAATATATTACAATAGAAAACAGATATGTTTGTAATAGTATATTTCCAGGGATTGAAATTAACTTTTTCACTCACCAGCCAATTTGGCTACTAAATTTTTAAATTACCGGCCATTCATAACTTCTACTAGCCAAAAAAAAAAAATAACAGAAATAAACCAACAGCTTGAGGCTGTCTACACTGGACATGACAAAGCGACTGTTGCAAATCATTTTGTGTCAGTACTAGGGGTGTGCGATATTGACAAAAAACAATATCTCAATATTTTCTGGGATTTTATCGATAAAGATAATTAGACAATATTTTGCTGTGTTATTGTGCTGATATCTTAAGGACTACCATGGACAGCTGACTCCTAAAGTTTTTGATATATTTCATATTCTGTGGTCAGTTCACAGCAGTGATAGAAATTAATCTTTTCCAATAAGTTTGCTTATTGATGCTTACCTTTTATGGGCATTTTTACCTTTATAAATCAATTTTTTACATTTAATCAGGCAATTATAACAATACTACATTTAGGCTGTTACTAAACAAATGAAATCAGTATCAATAAAATTCATCTTTGCAGAAGTTGCACATGAAGTGGCATTTAGCTGTATTTACCCATGCTAATGCAGCTTAGAGGGACATGGAATGCTTTAACCTGCAGTTACAAATGCATAAATAATGTTTTGATATATTAAACATAAAACGTTGAATACTGATATTTGAAATTATTTAAAAAATGAAAAGATACTTTAAATGTGAAATTAAAACCGCCAGTAGGTGGCAGCAAGTCACTGTTAAGTGAGTCATTGCGATTGAACCGAATCATTTAAACAGTTGATTCATTCAGGAACGAAACGCTGTCATGTTGCTCAGAGATGCAAAACAGTGCTGTTTGGAATGTTTTCTGTTGGCGAAATTGCGCAAAAACAGCCAATATGGTGTCTAAAACGTATGTCTCTTGATATTAACTTATTGTTTATTGAACTGTTGTATAAAATCAATATCACATTTGTAACCATGCTGATTTTTTTTTTTTTAAAACGGCACTCTTCGTGTGATATTAACTATATGAATTGATATAAATATATACATTTTCT